GAGGGGGGAGTAAGAAGAGGGGGGAGTAAGAAAGGGGTAAGAGGGGAGGGTGAAGTAAGAAGAGGGGGAGGGGGGAGTAAGAAAGGGGGGTAAGAGGGGGAAGGGGAAAATAAGTACTTTATTTGAAATTTAAAGGACCACTCTAGGCACCCAGACCACTTCAGCTTTATGAAGTGGTCTGGGTGCCAGGTCCCTCTAGGATTAACCCTTTTTTTTATAAACATAGCAGTTTCAGAGAAACTGCTATGTTTATACTGAGGGTTAATCCAGCCTCCAGAGCCTCTAGTGGCTGTCTCACTGAAAATCACAGTGAGAGCACGCAGCGTCCATAGGAAAGCATTGTAAATGCTTTCCTATGCGACCGGCTGAATGCGCGCGCGGCTCCTGCCGATGACGTCGCGAGCAAGGAGGAGAGGAGGAGTACAGCTCCCCGCCCGGCGCTGGAGAAAGGTAAGTGTTTAACCCCTTCCTCTTTCCAGAGCCCGGCGGGAGGGGGTCCCTGAGGGTGGGGGCACCCTCAGGGCACTATAGTGCCAGGAAAACGAGTATGTTTTCCTGGCACTATAGTGGTCCTTTAAGTTTTTTTTCCCTGAAATTTCCCTCTTAAAATGAGGTGCGTGTTATACGCCGGTGCGTTATACGCCGATAAATACGGTATTTCTTGTCTATCCACTCTGTACATTTAATCTTGGAGAGAGCGAGAGCTTCTTATATCCTGTATGGTTTCAATGTTTTGTTATTGTATTTGTCTGTCTGCCCGGTTCAGGGTTGTATTTCATCCTTTTTTTTTTCCTTCTGTTTTTTTTTTCTTCGCCTCGTCTCCCTTCCTCTGATCTTTTGTTGCCCCTTGATAGAGAGCAAAGGAAGGAAAGATGAATCAAAAAAAGAAGACTCAGGTCACTGTGTAGAACACCGAAGGCCTAGTATATCATACAGTTTATATCTGTTTTCCAACTTTACTAGGATACCTCTTTCCATTCTTGCTTGCCATCTTACTTGTTTTATCAGTTTGTTGATTTTTGGAATTGTGTCTGTTTTCCAGTTTCTTGCAAGAAGTAATTTGGCTGCCGTGATTATATGTAACATTTTTTTTTGTCATTTCTGGCCATTGCAAATTTAGTAAAACCACTTCAGGCTGACAGGGTAGTTTTATTTCCGTTATTTTATACATTATCTTGATTACTTCTTTCCAAAATGTATTTATGGGTGTGCACTGCCACCAAATATGGATCATATTACCTTCACCAGTATTGCATTTACAGTATCTGTCTGGTAGTTCTGGGAAGATTCTCTTTAAGCGTTTAGGTGTTAAATACCATCTATTTGATAATTTAAATTGGGTTTCTAAAAGATTTAGACAGTGTATGTTTTAATTTAGTTTATTTAAGGAATTTATCCATTGTTCTTCTTCTATAGGTACTTGCAGTTGTTTTTCATATTTATTAATCAATGCTATCGGTTTGTCATGTCTCATCTATATAGCACATTTTGCCACTAGGTTTTCATAGTTCTTTAATTCACATAATTGTATAAGATTTATGGTATTCTTCTCCTTATTTTTAAAGAGGTGTTCTGCTAAAAAGCTTTTAATTTACAGATAGTTGAACGTTTCACTGAGGGGGAATATTAAAGTGTTTTTAAATTCCTTTGCTCCTTTTAACCCCTTCCCGCAGGGTGACAGACAAGGTCCGTCATGGCGGGGAGACCCTTAACGCCGGGGGACGGACCTCGTCCGTCATGGGTTAAATTAACCCCAGATCACCGCAATCGCGAGGTTAACGGTGCTCCGGTCTGCCTCTGTATTAGAGGCAGACCGGGAGCACCCGATTGTGCTGCCCCTGCAGCAGTGCTCGTTCTGACTGGCTGTCAGAGCGAGCACATGTGCTGCATGTATTTACCTTCCGCCTCCCTGCACTTCTGGGTTCAGTGTGAAGTGCAGGGAGACGGATCATTAGTGATCTTCTCCCTGTTAAAAAAAAATAAAATAAAGTTAATTTAAAATCCCACCCCCCCTTTACCCATTTTAATAAAAAAATTACCACTTCCCTGCCAATTGATCACTGACTACAGTGATCAATTGGCAGGGTATACATTTTACCCTGATCTGATATATTTTTTTTAACCTCTGAGGGTCAACTTTTTTTTTTGTAACCCTCAAGGGTTAATTTTATTTTAATTAATTTAAATATATTAAAATAATATATTTAGCTAGCTGGGTTGGGTGGAAGTTAGTGGGGAATTTGGTGTTAGGCTAACTAGAAGGTTAAAAAAATGTTTAAAAGGGGGCGGGGCCTGACAGCCAAGATGGCCAGCCGCATGTCCTAGGAGCTCCTGTAACAATTGGCAAACGTGAGCTGAAACCGAGCAACAATATTACGCTGGAGGCACAAAGGGACCGGGAACAGACCCAGAGCAAAATGACAAACAGAATGATACCAGTCCGGTACCGGTGCACCATGGAAAAACCTCCGTCGGCCATGCGGCCTACACCAGAGCAAAGCCTGAGGCCTGGGGGAGGCGGTCGATCTCCCGGCGCAGGACGAGAGCAAAAGCAAGTGTCTACCACAGCCCTGCTACCCCCCCCTCTGGACCGGCGGGGGACATCCCGGTCCTCGCTGGGGACGATTAACCCCACATCACCGCCTAACCAAGCGATTAAACCACAAGTCAAACGAGACAAACTGAGCCCAGCCAAGATGGCGGCTCAGAAGCAACCTATTACCAAGCGAACACCCATTACGCCACCTAAGCACACAATGGAGTTTGTGACCCGGCTAAGCTCCTATCTCTGGGCGAAGTTCAAAACCCAGAGTCAAACCTACAAGCTAGCGATGAGAGAAGTAAAGGCGTGGATACGCCCAGCAACCCGGCGCCATCTGCAGGGTAACCCACCTTTTAACTCACGAGCAGCCTTTGGACGGAAGAAACACCGAAGCTCAGCACGGCGGGAAACGGCACCGGGGCCCTCAGACAGCAGCGCTCACGACCCCAAGCCTCAAAGTAAGACCCGCCGATCCACCCGTCCAACCTTCCACCCAGCGCACAAACAACTCTAAACCAGCACAGAGGAAACCCTCACGACACTGACCAGTCTCACGGCCTACACTCCTGGGACGCAAGGGATCAGCACCCAGCAGCAACACCGGCAGACCCGATGGCACCGGCCCCACGCAGGGGCATCGGCTGAATGAGCTCTCTTGGACAATCCAAACAACCCCTAGTATAGCATACAAGGACACAACGCCCATACCTCATCCATGCCGAACTGTGAAGCTGCCGTAATATGCTGAGACTTGGGTGAATGCTAGCTGACATTATACCATCAGACCCAGTGGTTTCAGTATACCTTGCAATCTTACCAAGTTCCTGCGGACTACCTCTTTCTTACCTAAAGAGAACTGAGTACCTGAGGTTTTTCATACTACTAACCATATATAGAGCGCATTTAAACTATGTTTATATCTAGTTTGTATTTACTTTTGCTCATCACTCCCACCAATAACAAGACAGGAGGTAACCCTTTGACAAACGACACTAACCCATAATCTGTGTGCCCGTTAGTCTTCTTTCGCAAAATCCAGCCTATAACCTATGGCGCACACTAATATTGTATACCCCTGAGTGGTACTTACTGTCAGTTAATCGGTCAAATAAGCTGGTTAATATTCTTGAAACGAGCGAATACTTATGCTAATACATAACGTGTGAGAATTTTGCATTACGCGTAGCTTGTTCATAACTAAACTGTGGACCTAATCTCCTGCTACTTCATGTTATTTCATGTTTGTATATATTACTTGCTCAGTTGACGACAATATGCCGTCGGTTTAATGCCATACGTACGAGCACCCGAGATAATACTCTGAGCCAGTTAGGTAAAGTTAAAACGGCTCTAATTGCTATTGTACAGGTTAGAATCATAGCTTGTAGTATGAATAAAGCACTGTGACCCACCTCAATAGACAGGCTTTGCTAGCCAACACACAAATTGTTTATAAACCTAAATGTGTTACTAACCTGTGTTTTTCTATCCTTTAAAAAATTTGTGCGGTTAAGTTATGCCATGACTATGTATGCCAATGAAACGCCTGTAAACGCTGTTGTGGTGCTACAGGTATCTCTGTTGTAAAATCTAATGCACAAGAAAAATAAAGAATTATAAAAAAAAAAAAAAAAGTTTAAAAAATGTTTTAATAACATTTAAGTTAAAAAATAAAAAAACACCCCCCTTTACCCAGTCCAAATAAAAAGTAACCCCTTCCCTGCCAGTCGATCACTGCCTACTGTATTATACTGTGATTTTTTTTAACCCCTGAGGATTAACTTTAATTTTATTTTTTTTAACCCTCAGGGGTTTAATTTATTTAATTAATTTAAATATTTTATAATTATATATTTTGATAGCTGGGGTGGGTGAGAGTTATGGGAAAGAGGGGAATTTAACGTTAGTGCTGTTTACTGCTAGTTAGGGGTTAACAGTAAAAAAAAGCTTATCAAAATTTTAAATCTGAAAAAAAAAATTTAAGAAAGTTTAGGAAAGGTTAAAAAAATTTATAAGGAAAAAAGTTTAAAAACTAGTTTTAAAAAGTAAAAAGTTTAAAAAAGTAAAAAATACATTTAAAAATGCTCATTACCACTACATCTGGAACAAACTAGAGAAAAAACGATCCCACGCTAAGGTTCAAAATACGCCTTTTGAATTACCCCAGGGTGTATTCTTTAATAAATAGTATGTGTTTGTGGGAAAGTTTTAATAACCAACCATCTAAACTACTCCAAAATGGAACATGGACACAGCGTAAAACTTCAAAGTTACAAAAAAACTGAATGGCTGCGTCTCAAATGTGCCCCTTCAACATCCACATATGCCTGGCAAAGGTACATACAGGGGTATTGCTGCACTCAGACGACATAGCTGAGCAACATATGTAGTATTATACAGTTGTAGCACACATAAGGTTTGCAAAATATACTGTGCAAACTCACTTTGTATGTCAAAAAGGCAGAAAAAAACACTTATTACCACTACACTTGGTACAAGCTAGCGGCAAAATTATCCCACTCTAAGGTTCAAAATATGCCTTTTGAAATACCCTGGGATGTGTTCTTTAAGAAATGGTATGCCTTTATGGTGTAGTTGTAATTTGTAGCCTGCTCATATGCTCCAAAGTGGGAAACGGACGCATCAAAACCCTCCATGAAAATTCACACTTAAAAACCTGAACTTGTCATGTCTCTTTTACAGCACTGTAACTTCACAAAATAGTGTCTAGGTCATACATTGGGGGTATTGTTTTACTCAGAAGACTTAGCTGAGCATAACTTGGAGGTTTTGAACTTAGTGGCACATATGAAATATACAAAATGTCCAGCAAAAATTTAATCCGTATGTAAAAAATTCCCCCAATTTTTTTTTACCACATACTTTGGCATATATTGGTGAAATGGGGGCATGTCAAGGCACAATATACACTTTTTGGGATACCCTGGAGTGTCTACTTTTACAAATGGTAGGCCTTTGTGTTTTTTTTTTTTTTAACAAACTGCTATAATAACCCAAATTGAAGCATAGGCCAATTAAATCCGTCTC